TTATTCACCGCTGGGATTTTTATTTTTTTTGCTATGTAAATTAAATGTCCAAAAAAAAGTGTTTTTCTTATAAAATTTTGCAAATAAATATTTCATCATAAATCTTGGCCAAAATTTATTCCGTTATCTTTTTAGTAAAAAAAAAAAAAAACCCAAATTAGTTTATAACCAAAAATTATAATTTTTTAAACATTTTTTTTACATTTTTATATTATTATTTATGTTTTTGGTTTTTTTTTTTTTTACATACTGTCACCCTAGCAGTAGTGTCACCATGGTGACACTGTACTACTTGTGGGGGGTAATGAAGAATTTTTTTTTTTTTTTACACTGATTGCTTTTATACCCATAAAGGATGTAAAAGCAATACCGTATTTTTCGCTCCATAAGACGCACCTAGGTTTTAGAGGAGAAAAACAAGAAAAAAATATTCTGAACCAATGGACTGCAGACACAGTGCAGGGATGACCAGAGACTGCAGACACAGTACAGGGATGACCAGAGACTGCGGACACAGTACAGGAGATGACCAGAGATGACCAGAGGACTGCGAGACAGTACAGGGATGACCAGAGACTGCGGACAGTACAGGGATGACCAGAGACTGCAGTACACAGTACAGGGATGACCAGAGACTGCAGACACAGTACAGGAGATGACCAGAGACTGCGGACACAGTACAGGAGATGACCAGAGACTGCGGACACAGTACAGGAGATGACCAGAGACTGCGGACACAGTACAGGAGATGACCAGAGACTGCGGACAGTACAGGGATGACCAGAGACTGCGGACACAGTACAGGAGATGACCAGAGACTGCGGACACAGTACAGGACATGACCAGAGACTGCGGACACAGTACAGGAGATGACCAGAGACAGCAGACACAGTACAGGGGATGACCGGAGACTGCGAACACAGTACAGGAGATGACCAGAGACTGCGGACACGTACAGGAGATGACCAGAGACTGCGGACACGTACAGGAGATGACCAGAGACTGCGGACATAGTACAGGGGATGACCAGAGACTGCGGACACGGTACAGGAGATGACCTGAGACTGCGGACAGTACAGGAGATGACCTGAGACTGGGGACATAGTACAGGAGATGACCAGAGACTGCGGACACAGTACAGGACATGACCAGAGACTGCGGACACAGTACAGGAGATGACCAGAGACTGCGGACCTTTGGGGAGGGAGGGGGAGCAGGTACCTGAACTAGACAGGTACCCGCTCCCAATTCCGCAGAGTTGTCCTTCTTTCCTTCTTCTTCCCGCGGCGGCTTCTGTGACAGCCGGGTGCCCACTGCGCATGCGCGAGAAGCGCTGCGCTTTGTGAATGGCCCGGAAGCCTTCTGGGACCTGTCATGTGTCTCAGAAGACACCGGACCATCCACAAAGCGCAGCACTTCTCGCGCATGCGCAGTGGGCACCCGGCTGTCACAGAAGCCACCGCGGGAAGACTGCAGCGCTGGAGCGAGGAACAGGTAAGGTCCTGCAGGAGAGAAGAGCTGAGCGGCCGGCCCGGTATTCTGACATGGTGGCGGCAGAAATACCGGACTGGCCGCTTTAAATTCGTTCCATAAGACGCACTGACATTTTCCCCCCTTTTTTGGGGGAAAAAAGTGCGTCTTATGGAGCGAAAAATACGGTAATTTCTCCTCTCTGGCTGCATTCCTGCAGCCATTGAGAAATACTGTGAGAGCTGTGATTGGTGACAGCTTGTCACATGGTACAAGGCTGTTGTGAATGACCCTGTACCATGTGATCTCTGTGATCATTCACAGATTTCACACGTAGTAAACAATGTCAGAAGTGACATCTTGCTTACTACTCTGCATGTGATCACTGATTGGCCAATCAGTGATCACATGATCAGGACCTCGCAGAGAGGTCCCGTACGACGATCAGAGGACACAGTGGGCACCGGATCGCGGTGCTGCGCGCTCCCAGGGAGCGTGCATAAGCAGGGTGCGGGGAGGTCGTTTATAAATGGCCACCCGACCCTGCACTGCCACCGTCCGGCCATTTATATACAACGGCCGGACAGGAGGTGCTTACAGGGATGCATTTCTGTTGAGCATTTCTGGTGCAAAAGCACTACAAAAGCAGCTCAGTGTGAAAGCAGCCTATTGGTTGAAAAGCTGCCGAAAATAAATTCGTACATTCGTTACAACCAAGCACTTATAGGGTAACTCCACTTTCATGCGAAAAAAAAATAGCAAAAAAAAAAAATAATAATAATCTAGTATATACAATTGCTACAAAAGACTTATTGTAAATGTTATTAAAGATTCCCTTTCCTTTTCAATCTGTAATTTTCTACAAAATACAATATGGCCGCCTGGAGGCGTTCTGTACACAGAGCACCCCCCCCCCAGCAATGTCATTTCCTGCTTGTGCCACCATCCCACCCATTTGTTTACTTTCAGCCGACACCTTGGGAATCTCCTGGTTGGCAGCTAGATAGTGCTGAGGACAAGTCATTGGTTGCTAGGGTGCAGACAGCCATTGCCAAATGTAGGTGATTACATCAGCCAGCATCCCACCCATTTGTTTACTTTCAGTCGACACGGAGGGGAATCTCCTGGCTGGTAGCTGCATTGTGGTCAGGGATGAGTCACCAGTTGCTAGGATGCCAGGGGCCAATCCCATATTTAGGTAGCAGCATCAACTAGCATCCCCACCCATTTGTTTACTTTCATTTGTCAGTTAGGGAATCCCCTGACTGGCAGCTGCACAGGACCAGTGACAAATTATGTTACTAGGGTGCCCGTGGCCATGACCATGTTTAGGTGATGACATCAGCATCCTGATCCTTTGTTTACATTCAGGTGTTGCCTGGGGAATCCTCTGGCTGGCAGCTGAATTGGAGTCATTGTTTTCTATATTAAAGTAATGGCACCAAACAGCATCCCCACCCCTTTGTTTGCATTCAGCTGCCAGCTGGTTACTAGGGTGCCTGTGGCCATTGTCATATTTAGACGATGATGTGAGCCAGCATCCAATCCCTTTGTTTACTTTCAGTTGTCACCTAGGGAATCTGCATGGGGCCAGGGACAAGTCATTGGTTACTAGGACAACGTTGGTCACTGCCATACTTGGGTAGTGGCATCAGACAGCATCCCACCCATTTGTCAGCTGGGGAATCTCCTGTCCAGTGGCTGAATGGAGCCAGTGATTGATCTTTGGTTGCTAGGAAGCCGCAGCCGCCAGAATGCTAGCAACCACGAGACTAGTGTAGTAAGCGTTCACATCCATGAAAACTTCCCAGCACAAAGTGCAACACATCAAAGTGCACCGACAGTCGTCCTAATTACTGCCAGTCTGCTTACCTGGTGGTAATTCTTTTTGAATCGGTTGCAGCCATAATGAAAGGTTCTTAACCGCTCGCCACCCAATGAATGCATATAAACGTCCTAGTTGGCAAGTGGTTACATCACGATTATAGCTGCAGCTGTAGCCAGGATCCCGGTACTGTTTTTTATTTTTGAGGGGGGGGGGGGGGCTAGGGATCCTGTAAAAGTGATCCGGGCAGCTTTACAGCCACTCAATCACTTTTACTGCGCCGCTGAGCCCTCCCTCCCGCCCCACCCCCTTTCCCAGGCTCCCCTGTTCCGCCAGGGAAGCCTGGAACCGCAGTAAGCAGTCAGGACAGCTTCTCACAGAGGAGATGGAGGAACTTCCGTCCCCTGATCTCCTCTCTGGCGAATGATTGTCCCCTGATCTCCTCTCTGGCGAATGATTGTCCCCTGATCTCCTCTCTGGCGAATGATTGTCCCCTGATCTCCTCTCTGGCGAATGATTGTCCCGATCTCCTCTCTTGTGAATGACTGTCCCCTGATCTCCTCTCTTGGGAATGATTGTCCCGATCTCCTCTCTTGTGAATGACTGTCCCCTGATCTCCTCTCTTGGGAATGATTGTCCCCTGATCTCCTCTCCTGGGAATGATTGTCCCCTGATCTCCTCTCTTGTGAATGACTGTCCCCTGATCTCCTCTCTTGGAATGATTGTCCCCTGATCTCCTCTCTTGGGAATGATTGTCCCGATCTCCTCTCTTGTGAATGATTGTCCCGATCTCCTCTCTTGTGAATGATTGTCCCCTGATCTCCTCTCTGGCGAATGATTGTCCCGATCTCCTCTCTGGTGAATGACTGTCCCCTGATCTCCTCTCTGGTGAATGATTGTCCCCTGATCTCCTCTCTGGCGAATGATTGTCCCGATCTCCTCTCTGGTGAATGACTGTCCCCTGATCTCCTCTCTGGTGAATGACTGTCCCCTGATCTCCTCTCTGGCGAATGACTGTCCCCTGATCTCCTCTCTGGCGAATGACTGTCCCCTGATCTCCTCTCTGGTGAATGACTGTCCCCTGATCTCTTCTCTGGCGAATGACTGTCCCCTGATCTCCTCTCTGGCGAATGACTGTCCCCTGATCTCCTCTCTGGCGAATGACTGTCCCCTGATCTCCTCTCTGGCGAATGATTCTGGAGGATTTCATCACATCTGGGAAGCAGCTAATCAAGCCTGACCTGTGTGTGAGGAAGGGGAGACATCGGGGGTCTAAAAGGACCTGTCACCTGCCCAAAGCTATCACAATGAGACAAGTTCACCCCCCTTGTTATAGCAATAAAGTTACAAAAAAAAATTAATAAGTGTAAATAAATGAATTAAAAAAGTTAAAAGCACCCCTGTTCCTGCGCCGACACACCAACGCACCCTTCGGCCCCCCACAGATATGTCAGCGGGGACTGTGAGATATCGTTGCAAACGTCAGAGAGAGAGCAATCATTGTAGACCCGGACCTCCGGTGTGAGGCTGAACTGGGAACCTGTAATGGCTTCTAAGGTGTCACCTGCGGACAATTTTAGGGTACCGTAGTTTGGCGCCATTCTGCGAGCGTGCGCACTATAAAAGTGGACTCTGACCTATGATTCCGGCCCCAAATCTAATCGCTGTCATAAGGTTGTAGACTTCACCTCCGTGACATCTCTGAAATTCACCCCAAATAACGAATAAAACCACCAAGCTCCTCATTGTTATCTCTCGCCTTGACTGCTGCAACTCCCTCCTCATTGGCCGACCTCTCCGTAGGCTATCCCCTCTTCAGTCTATCATGAATGCTGCTGCCAGGATCCACTCCACTTTACCAACCATCTCAGTGTCCTCCATCCCTCTCTGCCAATCCCTCCACTGGCCTCCACTCAGTGTCCTCCACCCCTCTCTGCCAATCCCTTCATTAGCCTCCATTCAGTGTCCTCCACCCCTCTCTGCCAATCCCTCCACTGGCCTCCACTCAGTGTCCTCCATTCCTCTCTGCCAATTTCTCCACTGCCCTCCACTCAGTGTCCTCCACCCCTCTCTGCCAATCCCTCCACTGACCTCCCGTCACTGTCCTCCACCCCTCTCTGCCAATCCCTCCACTGACCTCCCGTCACTGTCCTCCACTCCTCTCTGCCAATCCCTCCACTGAACTCCACTCAGTGTCCTCCACCCCTCTCTGCCAATTTCTCCACTGCCTTCCACTCTGTGTCCTCCACCCCTCTCTGCCAATCCCTCCACTGACCTCCACACCTCTCTGCCAATCCCTCCACTGACCTCCCCTCACTGTCCTCCACTCCTCTCTGCCAATCCCTCCACTGAACTCCACTCAGTGTCCTCCACCCCTCTCTGCCAATTTCTCCACTGCCTTCCACTCAGTGTCCTCCACCCCTCTCTGCCAATCCCCCACTGACCTCCACTCAGTGTCCTCCACCCCTCTCTGCCAATCCGTCCACTGGCCTCCACTCAGTGTCCTCCACCCCTCTCTGCCAATCCCTCCACTGACCTCCACTCAGTGTCCTCCACCCCTCTCTGCCAATCCCTCCAGGCAGTATCCTCCACCCCTCTTTGCCAATCCCTCCACTTAGTGTCCTCCATCCCCCTCTGCCAATCCCTACACTGACCTCCGCTCAGTGTCCTCCATCCCTCTCTGCCAATTCCTCTACTGGCCCTCCACTCAGTGTACTCCACCCCTCTCTGCCAATCCCTCCACTCAGTGTCCTCCATCCCTCTCTGCCAATCCCTCCACTCAGTGTCCTCCATCCCTCTCTGCCAATCCCTTCACTGGCATCTGATTGCCAAGTGAATTAAATTAAAAATATTAACAACATACAAAGCCATCCACAACTCTGCCCCCAGCTACATCACTAACCTGGTCTGCACTCCTCTCATGGCTTCCTGCTCTCAAGCTCCCTTGTCTCCTCCTCCCATGCTCGTCTCCAGGACTTCGCCAGAGCCTCTCCATCCTCTGGAACTCTCTACGCCAATCTGTCCGGCTATCGCCTACTCTGGCTGCCTTTAGGCAATCCCCAAAAACTCATCTCTTTAGGGAAGCTTATCACGCTTCCGAACAGATATTTATCACTTCCATCAGCTCATCCCCCACAGTTCCAACCCTTTGTACCACTTGCCCCACCCTATTAGATTGCAAGCTCTTATGAGCAGGGCCCTCTTAGACCTCTTGTATTGTAACTGCACTGCCTCCCTTTATATTGTAAAGCGCTGCGCAAACTGTTGGTGCTATATAAATCCTGTATTATAAGAATTCATAATAATAAAGTATGACATGTTTGGTATCCATTTACTCGGCGTATCATCTTTGAGGCTCCATGCACACTACTGTAGGCTATCAGATTTTTTTGAGCTTCAGCGTCTAGGAACAGAAAAAAAATGCTTTTGTAGAGTTTTTTGGAGACTTTTTCCAGCAGAAAAAAATGCTAAAGGCTACTACACTGCTAAAAAAAAAATGAAAGGAACACTCTTGAATCCGAGTGTAGCATCAAGTCGATGACACTCCTGGGATATGGATCTGGTCAGGTAAGTAGCAGAGGGGGTTGTTCATCAGTTTTGGCTGATTTGGTGGTAATGAAATTAACAACAGGTGCACTAGATGGGCAACAATGAGACGACCCCCAAAACAGGAATGGTTTTACAGGTGGAGGCCATGGACATTTTTTTCCCTACTCATCTTTTCTGACTGTTTTTTACTAGTTTTGCATTTGGCTCGGGTCAGTGTCACTACTGGTAGCATGAGGCCATACCTGGACCCTACAGAGTTTGCACAGGCAGTCCAACTTCTCCAGGATGGAACATCAATACGTACCATTGCCAGAAGGTTTGCTGTGTCTCCCAGCACAGTCTCAAGAGCATGGAGGAGATTCCAGGAGACAGACAGTTCCTCTAGGAGAGCTGGACAGGGCCATAGAAGTCCTTAACCCATCAGCAGGACTGGTATCTCTTCCTTTTGTGAAGGAGGACCAGGATGAGCCCTGCCAGAGCCCTACAAAATGACCTCCAGCAGGCCACTGGTGGGCATGTCTCTGACCAAACAATCAGAAACAGACTTCATGAGGGTGGCCTGAGGGCCCGACGTCCTCTAGTGGGCCCTGTGCTCACTGCCCGGCACCATAGAGCTTGATTGGCATTTGCCATTGAACCCCAGAATTGGCAGGTCCACCACTGGCGCCCTGTGCTTTTCACAGATGACAGCAGGTTCACCCTGAGCACATGTGACAGACGTGAAAGGGTCTGGAGAAGCCGTGGAGAACGTTCTGCTGCCTGTAACATGGTTCAGTAGGACTGTTCTGGTGGTGGGTCAGTGATGGTCTGGGGAGGCATATCCATGGAGGGACACACAGACCTCTACAGGCTAGACAATGGCACCCTGACTGCCATTAGGTATCGGGATGAAATCCTTGGACCCATTGTCAGACCCTACGCTGGTGCAGTGGGTCCTGGGTTCCTCCTGGTGCGGTGGGTTCTGGGTTCCTCCTGGTGCGGTGGGTCCCCTCCTGGTGCGGTGGGTCCTGGGTTCCTCCTGGTGCGGTGGGTCCTGGGTTCCTCCTGGTGCGGTGGGGTCCTGGGTTCCTCCTGGTGCGGTGGGTCCTGGGTTCCTCCTGGTGCGGTGGGTCCTGGGTTCCTCCTGGTGCGGTGGGCCCTGGGTTTTTTTTTCCTCCTGGTGCGGTTCCTCCTGGTGCGGTGGGTCCTGGGTGCGGTGGGTCCTGGGTTCCTCCTGGTGCGGTGGGTCCCTCCTGGTGCGGTGGGTCCTCCTGGTGCAGTGGGTCCTGGGTTCCTCCTGGTGGGTTCCTCCTGGTGCTCCCTCCTGGTGCGGTGGGTCCTGGGTTCCTCCTGGTGCAGGGGGTCCTGGGTCCTCCTGGGCAGGGGGTCCTGGGTTCCTCCTGGTGCGGGGGTGGGTCCTCCTGGTTCCTCCTGGTGCGGTGGGTCCTGGGTTCCTCCTGGTGCAGTGGGTCCTGGTTCCTCCTGGTGCAGACAATGCCCGGCCTCATGTGGTGAGAGTATGCAGGCAGTTCCTGGAGGATGAAGGAATTGAGACCATTGAATGGCCCCCATGCTCACCTGATCTACATCCAATAGAACACCTCTGGGATGTCATGTTTGTGTCCATCCGACGCTGCCAGGTTGCACCTCAGACTGTCCAGGAGCTCAGTGATGCCCTGGTCCAGATCTGGGAGGAAATCCCCCAGGACACCATCCGTGGTCTCATTAGGACCCTCCCCCCGATGTTGTCAGGCATGCATACAAGCATGTGGGGGCCACACAGACTACTGAGGACCATTCTGAGTTGCTGCAATGACATTTCAGCCAAATGGACTCGCCTGCTGCATCATTTCTTCGCTTTGATCTTCGGGGGTGTCCGTGAATTCAGTCCTCTGTAGGTCGACCATTTCCATCCAACGATGGGGCGTCCTTACATTCCTCACCCATCCCCCGTCCATGTCAGTATAGAGATCCAGCAGGAGATTCCTCCCCATTGGGATCTGATTGGTTCTCAGAGTCTTCCTCTAATCGTTATGAGTCGTGTATAACGCTCCTCACAGCTTTTTTGGCTCCATGCACACTACTTTAGGCCAGGGGCGGACTGACCATTTAGCCACTGGGGCACTGCCCGTGGCCCCAGGGTCAGTAGGGGGCCCCATGAGATGCCCATAGTACCTTTCAAAGGCTTTTTTGGGTGTGGTTTGAGTGTGAGAGAGGAGACAGGGGCCCCATGATTTCCTATTGGCCAGGGGCCCCATGAGTTATCAGTCCACACCTGCTTTAGGCTATTTGCATTTTTTGAGCGTCAACATCTAGGTGCAGAAAAAAAAAAATTGTAGTATTTTTGGAGCGTTTTCCAACAGAAGAAAAGCTAAACTCTGCTAAAATGCTCCTAGCAGCTTTTTTTTCCTCTACCTGTACTGTACAAAGCGCTAATAAAACGCTAACGTTCCTAAACCCTTCTGAACGCTACTAACAGCATTTTTTATGATAGCGTGCATGGAGTCTTATATTTTACCCAAAAATTGTGTATTATGTTGTGTTTTGTATGCATTAAAATTCAATAAAGCTTTAACTCTTAAATGACAAAAAAAAAAACCGCGCGCCCCATGGGGCGCGCACTCATCTCTGGCCCCATGCAGCTGCCAGCCAGCTGAGAAAAATAAATGCAAGTCCCTCGGCTGTTTCAGCTGAAAGTAAACAAGGGTTGTCAGACGGGGATGCTTGCTGATGATCATCACCTAAAGATGGTGGCTGTCCAGCAGTGACACCGATCGCATGTCTAGCGCCCAGCATGCGCCCACTAGCCCCGCCCACCCTCCGTTCAGCAGTGCCCCCACCTGTGCCCAGCAGTGCACCCACCTGTGCCACTCTGCAGTGCCACTACCTGTGCCCAGAAGTGCACCTACCCCAGCAGTGCACCCACCTGTGCCCACCCACCCGTGCCCACCAGTGCCACCCACCTGGGTTTGCCCACCCAGGTACCAGCTGAAAGTAAACAAAGGGGTGTGTTGCCGCCACAGTTAATGTGCCCTACCTAAACCTATGGGCCTATCAGGTAACCGCCATCTTAGCAACTGATGACTCATCCCTGACCCCATTAGCACTGCCATCAGTGCCCTTTAGTGCTGCCTATCAGTGCCCATCAGTGCCGCCTATCAGTGCCCATCAGTGCCGCCTCATCAACGCAAATCAGTGAAGGGGAAAAAACACCTGTTTGAATGTTAAAAGAAACAAATGGGATGCACTTTTTTTATTTATAGCGCAAAAAGTCACCTAAATACCAGCTGAAAGTAAACAAAGGGGTGGTTGCATGACCGCGCAATTGTCAATCAATGCCCCTAAAGCTAAATATGGGAATGGGGTATACCGCCATGGTTAGCAAAAAAAAAACTGATGACTCATCTCTGACCCCATGCAGCTGCCAGCCAGGAGATTCCCCCGGTGTCAGCTGAAAGTAAACAAGGGGACTGGATGCTTGCTGATGTCATCACCTAAAGATGGAAATGGCTGTCTGCATCATAGAAACCGATCATCATCATCATAGCAACCGATGACTTTACCTCAGCACCATGCAGCTGCCTGCCAGGGGTTTCACCTAAAGGTATCAGCTGAAAGTAAACAAAGGGGTGGTTGACAGTTAATGCCCCTACCTAAATATGGGAATGGTAACCGCCATCTTAGCAACTGATGACTCATCCCTGACCCCATGCAGCTGCCAGCCAGGAGATTCCCCGGTGTCAGCTGAAAGTAAACAAAGGGACTGGATGCTTGCTGATGTCATCACCTAAATATGGAAATGGCTGTCTGCATCATAGGAACCGATGACTTTACCTCAGCACCATGCAGCTGCCAGCCAGGGGTTTCCCTGGGTGTCAGCTGAAAGTAAACAAAGGGGTGGTCAACAGTTAATGTTACCTAAATATGGGATGCCCTATGATGTCATCACCTAAATATCAGCTGAAAGTAAACAAAGGGGTGGTTGACAGTTAATGCCCCTACCTAAATATGGGAATGGTAACCGCCATCTTAGCAACTGATGACTCATCCCTGACCCCATGCAGCTGCCAGCTAGGAGATTCCCCCGGTGTCAGCTGAAAGTAAACAAAGGGACTGGATGCTTGCTGATGTCATCACCTAAATATGGAAATGGCTGTCTGCATCATAGCAACCGATGACTTTACCTCAGCACCATGCAGCTGCCTGCCAGGGGTTTCAGTAAACAAAGGGTGGTCAACAGCTGAAATGATGTCATCACCTAAATATCAGCTGAAAGTAAACAAAGATGTGGATGCCAGTTAATGTCCCTACCTAAATATGGGAATGGTCCCTGGTATCCTAGCAACTGATGACTCATCCCTGGCCCCATGCAGCTGCCAGCCAGGAGATTCCCCCGGAGTCTGTTGAAATTAAACAAAGATGTTGGATGCTTGATGATGTCATCACTTAAATATGGCAATGGCTGTCTGCATCATAGCAACCAATGACTTGTCCTCAGCACCATGCAGGCCAGGGTTTCTCTGGGTGTCGGCTGAAAGTAAACAAAGGGGGATGCTAGTTAACTGCTTCCTGACTGCCCTATAGCAGAAATACTGCTACAGAGTGGCACGGGTGCACAAAATCACGAATATATACGCGGACGGTAATTACTCGCCGGCGCCCGGGTGATTTCCAATGATCTCCGACGGGGAGGAGGACTGTTTTTTTTTACTAACAGTCCTCCTCCCTGTCAGCTCGGGCACACTACACAGCACAGCCATCCTGATCAGTGTGCTTACAGTGAATCACACAGACCCCGCCCCCTAGTATAACACTCCCAGCACACAGTTAACCCTTTGATCGCCCCAGATGTTAACCCCTTCCTGCCCAGTGCCATTAGTACAGTATCTGTGACTTTTATCAGCAATGATCTGTGTATTGGTGTCATTGGGAATGTCAGTGACACCAAGTCAGCTCCCCCCCCCCCCCCCCAGTGTCAGAATGCCCACCGCAGTCCCACTATAAGTCGCTGATCGCCGCCATTACTAGTAAAAAATAAAAAAAAAATTCCAGTATCTATCCCGCCATTTGTAGACGCTATAACTTTCACGTAAACCAATTAATTTACACGTATTGGGATTTTTTTTTAGCGAAGACACGGAGCAGAATATATTTTGGCCAAAATTTATGACGAAATTTGATTTTTTAATGTTTTTACTGGACGTGTTTAATAGCAGAAAGTCCAAAATATTGCGTTTTTTCTAAAAATTTTTTTTTTTTTTATGGCACAAAAAAGTAAAAACCGCACAGGCAATCAAAGACCACCGAAAGAAAGTTCCATTCGTGGGGAAAGAAAAGGGGACGTAAATTTCATTTCGTTGCATGACCGCGCAAATTGTCAAAGTAACGCAGCGCCGTAAAGCAAAAAATGGCCTGGTCAGGAAGGGGGGGGGGGGTCTCTGGAGGGCGGGGGGGGGGGAATAATCTGGAGGGTGAGGGGGGGGGGGAATCCACTGGAGGGCGAGGGGGGAATCCTCTGGAGGGTGAGGGGAGAGGAGGGGGGATCCTCTGGAGGGCAAGGGGGGGGGGAATCCTCTGGAGGGCGAGGAGGGGAATACTCTGGAGGGTGGGGGGGAATCCCTTGGAGGGTGAGGGGGAATCCTCTGGAGGGCGATGGAGGGAAATCTTCTGGAGGGCGAGGGGCTTCTCTGGAGGGTGAGGGGGGGGAATCCTCTGGAGGGCGAGGGGGGGGGGAATCCTCTGGAGGGCAAGGGGGGGGATCCTCTGGAGGGCGAGGGGGGGGGAATCCTCTGGAGGGCGAGGGGGGGGAATCCTCTGGAGGGCGAGGGGGGGGGAATCCTCTGGAGGGCGAGGGGGGGGAATCCTCTGGAGGGCTGGGGGGGGGTAGAAATCCTCTGGAGGGTGAGAGGGGGAATCCTCTGGAGGGCGAGGGGGGGAATCCTCTGGAGGGGGGGGGGGGGGGGGGGGGCCTCTGGAGGGCGAGGGGTTAATGCCCCTACATAAATATGGGAATGGCCCCTGGTATCCTAGCAACTGCTGACTCCTCCCTGGCCTTCATGCAGCTGCCAGCCAGGAGATCTCATGACAGCTAAAAGTAAACACCTCGGTACTGGCGCAAAACTTTGCACCATCTGCATTAAAAGGGGCCATACCACCAGAAGAGTAACATTGTCGCTTACGTTTTCGCACGTGCTGTGTGTTGCCTCATGGTTGTGTTGTAATAATGGCAAATTTATGAAAGTAATCTGTTGTGGGGCCCTCTGGACATATTGGGGGCCACACCTGAACCCTCCATGTGTGAGGGCAGCTACAATAATTCACACCAAAGCTCTTCAAAAGTTAACCCCGCCCCTGCAATTGGTCTGAAGTTCCTCTCCCCCCACATAGTGATACTCTGTAACCTGAAGACTTCGGGGGGAAAAAACCCCATTTGCCCATACTTAATATGGACGCTCGGTGATCTCTCCGCTTACTGCGCACGCGTACTGTAACAGCGCTCTTAACCAGAGGCAATACCGAGCGGCACGCACCTTCCGGGTCACGGACTGCGATTGGCGAAGCTTTTCTGGGTCGCTCAGGGCTGAAATCCTTTGCTTCAGCTGAGCCCTCAGCGCCCGCTTTGCAGCGTGAACCGACGCCATCTCTGCCACAGCTCCGCCCACACCCACGGACGTCATTTAAAGGCCATGTGACGTAAAGATAGGGCGGAGCTGTAAGTGGGGAGTCCGCTGGGATCACGTGACGAGTGCACTCCTGTGGAGGAGGAGGAGTCAACACAGGAGTGAAGGATGATTGGACAATATTTTAACCACTTGTTTACCAGGAAAATTTTTTAGGTTTTGTTTTTTTTTTTTGCAAATCAGCAATTTTTTTTGCTAAAAAGTTACTTTCACTGTTTGCTTTCTGGGGCATTTTTTTTTTTTAAATTCACATATGTTAAAATTAGCAAAAAATTAGGTAGAACCCCCCCAAACGGCCCGTATTTTCTGGGAGCGGAGACCCCCGGAGAATGACACGGTGGTAGTAGCAACTTTTTATTTTGCACTATATTTTCACGGTTAGCATATTATTTTCGAGGAGAAAAAATACAACAAAATTATTTTTCGTGCAAAACACGTGATTGTGCCCAATTATTTTTGGTATATAAAGAAAAAAGGATGAGATGGCATCAAGTTAAGAGACACCAAACGTGTCAAGTCTTAAAATGACGCATGACCGTGTAATTTCGTAAAAACGGTGCTATGCTAAATTTTTCATAGGTGACACTTTAAAAGCCTTTACAGGTTATCAGCTTAGAGGTAACTATGAATGGCAACCCTACAATTATCGTTTCCAAAGATGCCTCACGTGTGTTGCACAATTAAAAAAAAAATATATATATATATACAGGGGCGTATTTGCCACAAGACAAACAAGGCATATGCCTAGGGCGGCACTTTTCAGGGGGGCACTATTCCTTCCACTGACACCCATGATGGGACACTATTCCTCCCACTGACACCAATGATGGGGCACTATTCCTTCCACTGACACCAATGATGGGGCACTATTCCTTCCACTGACACCAATGATGGGGCACTATTCCTTCCACTGACACCAATGATGGGGCACTATTCCTTCCACTGACACCAATGATGGGGCACTATTCCTCCCACTGACACCAATGATGGGACACTATTCCTCCCACTGACACCAATGATGGGTCACTATTTCTTCCACTGATACCAATGATGGGGCACTATTCCTACCACTGACACCAATGATGGGACACTATTCATCCCACTGACACCAATGATGGGGCACTATTCCTCCCACTGACACCAATGATGGGGCACTATTCCTCCCACTGACACCAATGATGGGGCACTATTCCTCCCACTGACACCAATGATGGGACACTATTCCTCTCACTGACACCAATGATGGGGCACTATTCCTCCCACTGACACCAATGATGGGACACTATTCCTCCCACTGACACCAATGATGGGGCACTATTCCTCCCACTGACACCAATGATGGGGCACTATTCCTCCCACTGACACCAATGATGGGACGCTATTCCTCCCACTGACACCAATGATGGGACGCTATTCCTCCCACTGACACCAATGATGGGACGCTATTCCTCCCACTGACACCAATGATGGGGCGCTATTCCTCCCACTGACACCAATGATGGGGCACTATTCCTTCCACTGACACCAATGATGAGGCACTATTCCTCCCACTGACACTGACACCAATGATGGGCACTATTCCTCCCACTGACACCAATGATGGGACACTATTCCTCCCACTGACACCAATGATGATGGGGCACTATTCCTCCCACTGACACCAATGATGGGCACTATTCCTCCCACTGACACCAATGATGGGACACTATTCCTCTCACTGACACCAATGATGGGGCACTATTCCTCTCACTGACACCAATGATGGGGCACTATTCCTCCACTGACACCAATGATGGGGCACTATTCCTCCCACTGACACCAATGATGGGACACTATTCCTCCCACTGACACCAATGATGGGGCACTATTCCTCCCACTGACACCAATGATGGGACATATTCCTTCCACTGACACCAATGATGGGGCACTATCCTCCCACTGACACCAGGACATTTTCTACTGCCACTGGCCTCAGTCCCCTCCCCCCCAAAGTTTGAAGGACAGTATATTGGCCCTTTGTTTAGAAAGTTTGGAGACCCCTGTCCTAGAGGAATGGGAGAGTGTGGGAACCACGAGAGCCACCCACCAATTGCTACGTGTTGGGGAAACTTTGCCATGGACATGAAGCAGGCAGGTGTCAATAATGCAGGCCAACCGCGCATTTCTGCCCCCCACCAGCTGCAAGTCTAAATGAAGTCTTATGCAGGCCATACATGATTCGAATTCCGAACGATCGGACCCAAGAATAATCGGCCGATTTTCGTGGTTTCTCCCCATTTCGTTTATCGTGCAATCTGGAAAATTTGTGAAATACGACCGATTTTCGAAATCATTGGTGGTGCCATCAGATTACAGAACAAACGACGTTTCGATTTTCGGATGAAAAATCATTTGGAATTTGAACCGTGTATGGCCGGCATAAGGGGTGCAGTTCTGCTTGCACTGGGAACATTGGGCTTCGAACGATCGCTCTCACTCCGGTGTGCGCACAGGCGGGTCGCGCAATTGGCGTGTTTGTGCATAGGCACCATGACGCATACGTTTATGTTCCTGTGTGTATGTGGGGTGGGGGGCTCAAAATATTTTTTTTTTTGGGGGGGGGGGGGGGGGGGGGTAGAGCAGATCTTCCCTCTCTCAATAACGTGAACTATTTTTAATCCTCATCCTGCTGGCATTAGTACATAGATAGGAAGGGAGGTGTTAGACTTACTGGTTGTATACGTGTTTGTACATCTCTCCTGTCACTTCCTGGTTTCTGGTCTAGGCAGATGACATCATATCTCAGGAGTCGTCAGCAGGGGAGGAGGGGCTTTCTCAGCTAATCACACCCTCTTGTCTACATGCCTGAGCTAAGGGCAGATGGATTCCAGATTACAGGAAGGAAATTCATCTGCCTGTGGCCGCAACCAGAAATGCTAGAGGGGTATTTTTCAAAGTTATTTCTCAGCAAAATAATGGATGGAGACATGGATGGATGGAGACATGGATGGATGGATGGAGACATGGATGGATGGATGGAGACATGGATGGAGACATGAATGGATGGATGGAGACATGGATGGATGGATGGAGACATGGATGGATGGAGACATGGATGGATGGATGGAGTCATGGATGGATGGATGGAGACATGGATGGAGACATGAATGGATGGATGGAGACATGGATGGATGGATGGAGACATGGATGGATGGAGACATGGATGACATGAATGGATGGATGGATGGAGACATGGATGGATGGATGGAGACATGGATGGATGGATGAAGACATGGATAGATGGATGGATGGAGACATGGATGGATGGAGACATGGATGGATGGGGACATGGATGGATGGAGACATGGATGGATGGAGACATGGATGGATGGATGGATGGAGATGGATGGGTGGATGGAGATGGATGGATGGATGAAGACATGGATGGATGGATGGGGACATGGATGGATGGATGGATGGAGACATGGATGGGTGGATGGAGACATGGATGGATGGATGAAGACATGGATGGATGGATGAAGACATGGATAGATGGATGGAGACATGGATGGATGGATGGATGGAGACATGAATGGATGGATGGAGACATGGATGGATGGATGGAGACATGAATGGATGGATGGAGACATGGATGGATGGATGGGGACATGGATGGATGGAGACATAGATGGATGGATGGATGGAGACATGGATGGATGGAGACATAGATGGATGGATAGATGGGGACATGGATGGATGGAGACATGGATGGATGGATGGAGACATGGATGGATAGAGACATGGATGGAAACATGGATGGATGGCGACATGGATGGATGGATGGATGGATGGATGGAGACATGGATGGATGGATGGAGACATGGATGGAGACATGGATGGATGGATGGACGGGGGAGTTTGCTTTATTAACTATAAATGAAGTATCGTTGTTGGTCTGTGTTGCTCAGACGCCGTGTAGTTCCATCTGATGACACGGAACACGAAGCCTCCCCTGCGATGAGAATGTTGGTGACGGGTTCTCTTTGGGGTGTACAAGCCTCCCCCGTCCCCGCACAGCTTACACTCTACTAGCTTCCTCGGGGGCCGTGCTGCTTGGGGGAGGGACTTCAGGACGCGGGAGGGACGCTCCACACTCTGGGCCATCCTCAGGAAGGGGAGATGATGAAACAAACGCTCATCGATCTCCCTCCCCTCCATACTGGTTCCAGGTCGGCGGATGGTTGGGCCCAGGACACATGGTGGGGGTACACGTGGGGGAGGGGCGGGATGTAACATTTGTGGCACATTTGTCATTTTTGTGTGTAGACCCCCCCCCCCCTCCTCCAGGAGTGTGATTACATTCACATTGGGGGAGGGGCTTACCCCACAACTTTGGGGGCGGGGTTTAAGTGGATGATTTTTGTTTTTACTAAACTTTATTTATCTGCTTGCCAACCGGCCACCTACCTGATCCATCACCTACCTGACCCGTCACCAGACCCAGTATTTGGCTTTCTTGTCACAGCGATCGGTGAGGCTAACTAGCCGCTTGATCGCTATTACAAGCAGCGGGAGGCGGTATTTCCCCCCCTCCCCCTTCCAACGCTTCAACAGGATCTGCCCAACCAGCCGGCGGATCACAGAGCCCAACCAGCACCGGATCGGCTTCCTTCGGCTCCATTAAATAGTACACTGACGGCCAGACATCACTTCCAAGTCACTCGGAAAAAACACGGCGCCATTTTTAAAAAGCGTTCGATCTTCATGGGATTAACCTTTTTTCTGCCAGAGACGTTTTTTTTTTTTTTCATTTTTTTCACCTAAAATCATTTTAGTCCTGAAGATGACACCAAATCCTCAACCTCTTCTCACCGCCGTTTAGTAAAAATCCTGCTACAGGGCGGCACGGGGGTGCAAAATCAGCTATATGTACGTGATATTCGCATTTCCGGGTAGAGGATGCGTTCAAGCCCCACCC